TACTTGTAGTATCAGTCGTAGTCGTAGTCGTCGTAGTAGTAGTAGTAGTAGTAGTAGTAGTAGTAGTAGTAGTAGTAGTAGTAGTAGTAGTGCTAGTAGTAGTAGTAGTAGTAGTAGTAGAAGAAATAGTAGTAGTAATAGTAGTAGTGGTGGGTGGTAGTAGTAATAGTAGTACTTCTAGTTCGTGTAGTGATAGTAGCAGGAGTAGTCGTGGTAGCCGGGAAACCAGCTCGTCGTAAGAATTGTTCTGGTGTAAGTAGTGGTGAAAAGAACAATATTAATAATAGTGAGAGCAGTACTAGTCGTAGAACTAGTCGTAGGAGTAGTAGCAGTAGTACTAGTAGTAGTAGTAGTAGTAGTAGTAGTAGTAGTAGTAGTAGTAGTAGTGGTAGTAGTAGTAGTAGCAGTAGTAGTAGTAATAGCAGTAGATATACCGATAAAAGTCGTGGTAGTAGTAGCAGGAGTAGGATTAGTATTCGTAGTTGGAATAGTAGTCGTAGTAGTAGTAGTCGTAGTAGTAGTAAAAGTAGTAGTAGTCGTAGTAGTAGTAGTAGTAGTAGTAGTAGTCGTAGTCGTAGTCGTGATCGTAGTCGTAGTCGTAGTAGTAGTAGTAGTAGTCGTAGTAGTAGTAGTAGTAGTAGTAGTAGTAGCCGCCGTAGTAGTAGTAGTCGTAGTACTAGTAGTAGTAGTAGTAGTAGTAGTAGTAGTAGTAGTAGTAATAGTAGTAGTAATAGTAATAGTAGTCGTAGTAGTAGTAGTAGTAGTAGTAGGAGTTAGTAGTAGTAGTAGTAGTAGTAGTAGTGGTAGTAGTAGCCGTGGTAATAGTAGCAGTAGTAGTAGTAGTAGTAGTAGTAGTAGTAGTAGTAGTATAGTAGTAAGAATCGCCGTAGTGGTAGTAGTAGTAGTAGTAGTAGTAGTAGTCGTAGTAGTAGTCGTAGTAGTAGTAGTAGTAGTAGTAGTAGTTGCTGTTGTTGTAGTAGCAGTAGGAAAAGTAGTAGTACTAGTCGTAGTAGTAGTGGTACTAGTAGTAGTAGTAGTAGTAGTAGTAGTAGTAGTAGTAGTCGTAGTCGTAGTAGTCGTAGTGTTAGTAATTAGTGTTAGAAGTGTTAGTAGTGTTAGTAGTGTTAGTAGTGTTAGTAGTAGTAGTAGTAGTAGTAGTAGTAGTAGTAGTAGTAGTAGTAGTAGTAGTAGTAGTAGTAGTAGTAGTAGTAATAGTAACCGTCGGCGTAGTCGTAGTAGTAAATCGTAGTATGTCTGTTCAGAGAGGCCCCCAAGACGGCTTCCGACGGTGTCAGACGGACCAGGAACGCCCTAAGACGGCCAAACATGCCCCCAAGATGCGAAGCCCCCAATGGCCCTCAAGAGGCCCAAGGAGGCCCCCAAGATGCCTCCACGAGGCCCCCAGAAGCTCCCATGAGGCGCCAAGTGTGCTCCCAGAGGTCCCCAAGATGCCCCCTCCTCCTCCTCCTCCTCCTCCTCCTCCTCCTCCTCCTCCTCCTCCATCTCAAATTCCTCCTGATCATCCTCCCCTGTTTCCCGAAGAGTTCCGCAACGGCTGGGGGAACACATGGTCCGATAGCTTGGCGGCAGACCAACGGGCGCCTCCAAAAGGCAGGGGGCAGCGGTGACTCGCCGTAGACATCTTCGATAAAGAACCCCATCTACTTACGATATAGGAAATCACATTTCCGCCTCAACCGCCTCCCTCCCGCCCGCCTCATCCTCATCCCCCTCCCCTCCCACTCCTCCTCCTCCTCCTCTTCCTCCTCCTCTTCCTCCTCCTCCTCCTCTTCCTCCTCCTTCTGCCTAGACAGGACCTCAGCTGATGGCGTGAAGAGTGATGGTGGCATGTTGTCTGTGGCCGGGTCGCCGGCGCGCCCGAGCCATGCAGCTCTGCAAGCGTGGGCGGGCGCTGCTCCGCGCGGGATTCCCTCTCGAACAGCCCCCCCCCCTCTCTTCCATTAGCGCGCGCGCGCCCCCGCGCGAGAGCGGAGGACGAAGGAGGACGAGGAGGCGGAGGCGGAGGAGGCGGAGGCGGAAGCGGAGGAGGAGAGGGAAGCGGCGGGAGGAGGAACAAGAAACGACATAAACACACACAATCGGAGCTCCGCGCGGATCTCTTGGACCTGCGCTGAGGCACCCTTGCCTGGCGCGCCGAGCACGCCAGGGGCGGCGCCGGGAGCTCCAGCGCAAGTCCGAGAAATCTGCGAGGACCACCCACAGTTTATTGCTGTGCAAGTCTCGCTTCGAGAGGAGGGAGGGGATGAGGAGGGGATGGCCCCTTGCCTGCTCTTTCTTCCCTTCCTCCTGCTTGCGCCAGGCCTGGCGTGCAGCAGCGTGCGTTGTGGAGCGCAACCCCGATGCTCGGGAGCCCATGCCAAGCGGGGAGGGTGGGGAACCGTCGGGCTGTCCCCCGGCCGAGACACGCGGGGAGGGCGGGAGGGAGGGGAGGGGGAGGGGGAGGGGGAGGGGGGAGGGGGAGGGGGAGGGGGAGGGGGAGGAGGAGGAGGAGGAGGAGGAGGAGGAGGAGGAGGAGGAGGAGGAGGAGGAGGAGGAGGAGGAGGATGGTGGAGGAGGCCGACGTCAATACAACGACAACAAGGGACGCCGACGAGAGACTACGACAACAACGGCCTCGCCGTCGTCGTCGACTCTGGGCGTCGTTGCCATCGTCGGTGTCATCCCTCCTCCGCCGTGGTCGTCATTGCCGTTGTCGTCGTCGTTGTCCTCCTCCTTCTCCTCTTCCTCCTCCTCCTTCTCCTCTTCATTCTCCATCCCGTGCTTTCCCTCGCACCCTCTCTCCTTCCGTCCTCCTGGATGTCCCCCTCCCTCCCTCCCGAGTCCCCTTCTGAGGTGAGCACCAGGGGGGCAACATCGAGCTGGAATCGGCGATACATCGATCAGAGAGAGGCCCCCCAAACAGCAAATCCGAACGTTCCTGGGCGGGGTGGGCTATCGGTCCCTATCGGCGACGAATGGGCCTTCGGGGTCGACGCCCCCCTCCCCCCCCTGTGCCTGTCCCCTCTAACGTTGACCCCTAACTTGCGAGGCATAACTCGGCTTTCAGGCGGCCACTCGAGACGATCCGGGCCTCCCCAGAACGCTCTCGGCGAGGCGCAGCTGCTTGAGAGCACCCCGAAGCTGGCAAACCGCAAAGAACTGGCGAACGTCCGAAAACCTCAAACCTCGAAACCCGTCGTTACACTCCGGGCTAGGGACACATTTGAGCTTGACCACATACTCCTGAGAATGATGCCACAAAGATAATCAAGTTCGGGGTTCTGAGGGGATGATACAGATCTTCCTGGAAAAACTCAAAAGAACAAACGTAACGTACTAACTGAAGAGGAGGGAGAGGGCAGGAGGATGAGGATGAGGAGGCAGGGCTTGCAAGGGAGCGCGCCCGAGACATCCTCGCTGAACTCGTCTGGGGCTCGGCGTGTGCTGGCAATACTCTTTTCAACTCGGGCCTCGCTGTGTTGTTCGGAAGGTGATGTGTTAAATTATGCAATGGAAGTTCCCCACATCACGATACCCTGCTCGCTCTGGCGGGGCCTCCTTGGAGGGGTGGAAGGAGCACGAAATCTGGGACACAATCTGGTATAACGATACCCTGCTCGCTTTGGCGGCAAGGCAGTACGGCTTGTGGTGGAGACGTGGAGACGGGCTAACGAGAAGCAGGCCCAAAGGATAACAAAGTTCGGCCTCGCCGCCCCCCACCGCCGACCAAACGTGTCTTGGCCGGAGAAGATCCACTCCACGGTCTTAGGGGGGTAACTATAAATCGTCATCTGAGGCACGCGGTTATACCCACCTCCTTCCTCCAGCTCCTTCCTGCCGGGGCGAGGCCAGGCGAGCGGTCCTGCGCGGGAGCTGACAAGTCTCCGCCTTCGTCGGAGGCCGGCGGGTCGTCGATCTCGAACGCCACACGCCGCGCCCGCGGCGCCTCGCGCAGAGGCGCCGGTTGCTCCTGCGCTCTGGGGTCGTCGTCGTCGTCGTCGTCGTCGTCGTCATCGTCGTCGTCGTCGTCCTCGTCGTCTTCGTCGTCGTCGTCGCCTTCTGTCGTCGTCGTGGTCGTCGTCGTCGTCGTCGATGTCGCCGCCGACGTCGCCGTCGTCGTCGTCGTCGTTGTCTGACCGTCGCTTCCGTGCCGCCTGCGTCGTCGTCCCTCAGCTTGCCCCGCGACGGCATTCTCCTTCTCGGCTGCGCTCGCCATCCTGGCGGCCTCTGGAAGAGCGCTCGAGCCAATTCCGTCTTGCTTTCCGCAGCTAAACGCGCATATGCACTACACACAGATGTGAGACGAGATGAAATACAATATAGACATAGTGCGACTCATGCGGCACGGTGAAAGTGAAGAAGGCGGCCGCACGCAATTCTCGAAGATCCGTGGCAGGAGCACAAATCCAGCCGCGACCAAGTTGCCGAGAGTCTGGTAGGAGTGGCCGACCCGCCGAGGGACCTCATATAAACTTGGTTGAGCCTCTCGCTTCGATGCTTCCCCTGCTGGCCGTCTGCGGATCGGCAGCGCCCACGGACTGAAGCATAACCTCATGCAAAGCTAGACCCCATGTTTTACGACACTGTCAGAGCCTGATCGATATGTGAGGGTCCCAGGCCTCGAAGCCGGGCGTAACCCGCCGTCGTGAAAGCACCGCAAAGCCCAGACCTGAGGGACGATGCCAACGACCACGACGGCGACGACCACGGCAAGGACGGCGACGACCACGGCGGCGACGACCACGACGGCAACGACCACGGCGACCGCGGCAAGGACGGCGACGACCACGACCGCGACGACCGCGACGGCGACGACCGCGACGACGACGACGACCGCGGCAAGAACCACCACGACGACGGCGAAGACCACGACGACCACGCGACGACGGCGACGGCCGCGACGACGACCGCGGCGACGCACAGCCCGCCGCCTCGGGCGACGCCCGCGCGCACGCCTCGGAGCTCGCCCGCCGCTCCTGGGAGGGCGAGCCCTGCGGCACCTCCCGGGGAGCCGCGCCTCCGTCGGTCGCCGTCGCCGTCGCCGCCGTCGCCGCCGTTGTCGTCGTCATTGTCGTCATCGTCGATGTCGTCGATGTCCTCTTCTGTCGTCTTCTGTCGTCGTCGTCGTTGTCGTCGGTGTCGGCGTCGTCGTCGGCTGTCATGCGTCAGCGTCGTCCCTCGTCGCTGCCGCCGCTGGCAGCGTCGTTGTCGGTCGTCGGCGTCGTCGTTCCCTGCTGTCATCGACGGTAGGCGGCGTCGGTCGGCGCAAACGTCAGCGGCGGCGTTGCCGGCGTCGTCGTCGGCGTCGTTGTCGTCGCCGTGCCTGTTTGTCAATTGTTGTGCATTGACTGGCCGCCCAGGGCTTCTGGGAGCGGCATCTCGTAGCTCCCGGGAGCCTCCGCAAACGCCCCAGAGAACCCAGACCCTCATCGCCATGATTTTTGTGACGACATCGACCCCCAGAGATCTCCACCCCTTCCCCTGGACCGGCTTTGCCTCCTGAGCTTTTCTGTCGACGGCCTGAAAGCCCCGGAAGGGGCCCCCAAAGGCAGAGAACGGGGAAGAGCCTAATTATGTCGCGATTTTTTCGTGGCCCGAGGGGGTCTGGGAATGCCGTCGCCGTGGCCGTCGCCGTCGCTGTCATCGTCGTCGTCGTCGTCGTCGTCGTTGTCGTCGTCGTCATTGTCGTCGCCCTGGTGGTCGTCGTCGTCGTCGTCTCTGGCGCCGGCATTCCGCTGCCCCTGGCGGCCCATTGGCAGCCCATCGGCGGCCACTGGCGTCAGGTCGGGCGTGTCCTCCTACAGGCAGCAGATCTTGGACGAAAGATTCAAAATTGCACAAAGTGGCATAAATAATATGAATACTCAAAATGCAAAACAAATCGTCCCCAGAGTGTCGTTGTATTATTTTTGAGTGTTCCTCCTGTAGAGGGACACGCCCGACTTGACTCTGGCGGTCCCCGAGACAGGCTCGTCCGAGCGCCGCGCCGCGCGCGCTGCGCGAGGCCGCCCCGGCTTTGCGCCTCTCGGGGCCGTGCAGAGGCGCAGTGGGCGCAGGCGTTCTCTGCGCCCTCGCGCCGGCCTCTCCCCAGGCATACAGTCGGGGCGTTGACCTAAGGAACGATAAATAAGGAACGAGGCCCCTTTTCCCCATATATGAAACTCCGATTTTCCATGGAAAACCTCAGGAAAACATAGGACAACCCGAGGAGCACTGTAAAGCAACTAAGGAACACGGAACCCCTCCCCAACAAAAAGGGTTCCTTCTTCAGGGCCCCGACTGTATAGAAGAAGAAACAACGGCATAACCATAAACTTTTGGCGCACCGCGCGGATTTCTTGGCTCTGCGCTGGACCCCCTTCCCCGGCGCGCGCAGCGCGCCAAGGGTGGCGCCGGAGGCGCCTCTAAGGGGGGCCTGGCGCGGATCCGAGACATCCGCGCGGAACGCCAAAAGTTTATGCTTATGCCGTTCTTCCCTTTGAGCATAGAGTCGGGGCCCTGAAGAAGGAACCCTTTTCGTTGGGGAGGGGCTCCGTGTTCCTTAATCGTTTCGCAGCTTGCCTTGGATTTTCCTCAGGTTTTCGGTACGAAATCGAAGCTCCACTTATGGAAAACAGGGGCCTCGTTCCTGATTTAGGGTTCCTTAGGTCAACGCCTCGACTGCAGGAGGGCCCAGGATCGGATCGAGAAGCCGGATCGGCGACCGAAGGGAAGCGGATCGGCGGAGATCGGCAGCCAAGTCGGTGGAGGTCGGTCCGGCGGCGAGCGGCAGGCCCGCGAGGCCCCGCCGAGAGACGGCACCCAAAGCCGAACGGAGTCGGACTCGGAGCCGAGCGACATCGAAATGATGATGATGATGATGATGATGATGATGATGATGATGATGATGATGATGATGATGATGATGATGATGATGGTGATGGTGATGGTGATGGTGATGATGATGATGATGATGATGATGATGATGATGATGATGATGGTGATGGTGCTGATGATGGTGATGGTGATGATGATGATGATGATGATGGTGCTGATGATGATGATGGTGCTGATGATAATGATGGTGATGGTGATGGTGATGGTGATGGTGATGAGGAGGAGGCGGACCAGAGCGAACCTTTGAATGACGAGGGCCCAGTTGGCCTGCCACTCAAGCGAGATCGGCATCATGATCAAGCCGGAGGAATCGAAACGAGCCCTGCCTGGGACAGGGCGAGCCCTCGAGAGCTCCAGAGGTCGCGGGGCGCCGGGTGAAAGCGGCCACAACGCCCGCGCTCAGCGACCTGGCCTCGACGTTTTCGCCGATGCCAACTCCTGCGCTTTGCGGCCTGGAGAGCTGATCGGGCACACTCTGGCATAGATACCACCTACTCCTCCTCCTTCTCCACCTCCACCTCCCCTTCCTCCTCCTCCTCCTCCATGACATCCTCCTGCTCCTCCTCCTCCTCCTCCTCCTCCTTCTCCTCCTCTTACTTTTCTTCTTCTCACCATTATTATTATTATTGATATTCTTATTCTTGTTCTTAATAGCATTATTATGTCCACTATTATTATCAATATCGTTATTATTATTATTATTGTTATTAGTATTATTATTATTGAAATTGTTTTTTATTACTAATAATTAATACCATTACTCGTATTAGTATTAGCATTCGTGTTATTACTCGTAGTATTATTATCATTATTATCATTTGTATTCGTATGATCCGTCGTATTATGAATATTATCATTATTATAATTGGTATTGCCATTAATAATATTGTTTGTTGTGTTATTTGTAAGGATATTGAAACTATGTATTATTATTTATTATGAGTATGATTATGATTATTATTATTATTATTATTTAGTATCAGTGGTGTTATTATCAGTTGTAATATTATTCTGATTCGTATTATTATTCGCATTACCGATAGCAGTATCATTGTTATTCTTCTTCTTCTTCATATTATTATTTTTCTTCCTCCTCCTCCTCCTCCGCCTCCTTAGTATGATTATTATTTTTCCTCCTCCTCCTCCTCCTGCTCCTGCTCCTCCTGTTCCTCCTGCTCCTCCTGCTCCTCCTGCTCCTCCTGCTCCTCCGCCTTCCTCCGCCCTCCTCCGCCCTCCTCCGCCCTCCTCCGCCCTCCTCCGCCCTCCGCCGCCCTCCGCCGCCCTCCGCCGCCCTCCTCCGCCTTCCTCCGCCTTCCTCCGCCCTCCTCCGCCCTCCTCCGCCCTCCTCCGCCCTCCTCCGTCCTCCTCCGCCTCCCCCGCCCTCCTCCGCCCCCCCCCCTCCTCCACCCTCCTCCGCCCTCCTCCGCCCCTCCTCCGCCTTCCTCCGCCCTCCTCCGCCCCTGTGCCTTACTTCGCGTCCTCCGCGCGCGTCCTCCGCCTCCTCCTCTTCCTCTCTTCCTCCTCTTCCTCCTCCTCCTCCTCCTCCTCCTCCTTGTTGTTGTTGTTCCTCCTCCTGCTCCTCCTCCTCCTCCTCCTCCTCCCTCCTCCCCCCTCCTCCTCCTTCCGCCCTCCTCCCTCCTCCCTCGGCCCTCTTCCCTCCTTCTTCCTTCTTCCTCGTTCCTCGCTCCTTGCTCGTCGCTCCTCGCTCCTTCCTCCTCCCGCCTGCCTCCTTCCTTCTCCCTTCCCTCCTCCCTCCTCCCTCTTCCCTCATCCTCCTCCTCCTACTCCTCCTCCTCCTCCTCCTCCTCCTCCTCTTCCTCTTCCTCCTTCTCCTCTTATTGTTCTTCTTCATATGTTTATTATTATTAGTATTGTTATTATTATTACTATTATTATTATTATCATTATTATTATTGTTATCATTATGGTTGTTGTTCTTCTTCTTCTTCCTCTTCTTAGTACTATTCGTATTCTCATTCGTCTTCGTGTTTTTCGTCGTCCTCTTTTTTTTATTCGTCTTGCGATCATTATTCATATTCTTATTATTCGTCCTCTTCCTCCTCCTCCTCCTCCGCCTCCGCCGTCGCCTCCGCCTCCGTTTCCGCCCCCTCCTCCTCCTCCACCTCATGTCTCCTCCTTCCTCCCTCATCCCTTCTCCCTCCTCGCTCCTCGCTTCTCGCTCGTCGCTCCTCCTTCCTCTTTTCAAGGCAAGCGCCCCTGTTCGGGCTGCTAAAATTAAGTCCACATATTACGTGTGCTGACAAGCTCTCAGTACAACGGACGTGGCTGTTCTGATGCTTTCCAATTCTATTTCAAATGCCGACGTGGCGTCGCCCACGAAACCGTACAGGTACCCAACAACTGCGCGACTGGATGAACCGCTTGGTCACGAATATCCCACCAATTCTATGCCATAGCCCCCTGCCGACTCCTGGTGAAAACCGTCCGTCGGAGAAGCAGTGCAGCGCAACGACTACTCCCAACTGTTCCCGCGCAGCTTGGGAAGTTAAATTGCGCCTGAGGATATTGTCCATCGCGCTCTTCACTAGGAAATCGGCGCCTGCGTTCCATTCCCTCGGCCTCCAATGAACGGGGTCCAGATATCCGCCCGTGTGATCAAAGGGCTCCCTGGTACGACTGAAACAAATTCGCCCGCGCGCTATGGACGGTCTGCTCGTGCGTCGGATTCGTCGGGCTTTGCGTGGCATGTGCGAGTCCCGCCACTGACAAATTGTCCACCACGAGCTCCAATTGAGCCTGGCGCGACGCGCGATGGTGGAACAAAAACGCATCCCAGCCCAAGGCCGATGGCAGAGGGAGCTCTTCCAAATCGTTTGGTGTAGTTGAGCTCGAAGGTGGTTCGACAACCTACCTGCCTCTTCTGGCCGCATAGAAACAAGGCGGCCCAGGCAACTTCAATGCTCCACATGCTGTCGCCGCAAATGTCCGGCAACCTTGGGCACGGTCGCGCTCGCGAATATGGCTTTGCATCTCAGGCCTTCAGTGATGCCCCCAAAGTTTGACCATCCTATCGCCGTCGCTGACGTGATCCCCCGGGCGAGCGCGCGCGAGATCAGGGGCTTCTCGCTTCCGCTTGCTCGAACTGGTGCCCCGTGCGGTTCCC